TTGGGGGCTGGTGAATTCAGTGGCTCAGCAATGTCATCACTAACATGGGTTTTTCTGTCTCTCCGCTCTGCCAGTTTCAGCGATGGTTTAGCTCCCACTGTGGTCCCAACATGACTGCACTATTTCCACACAACAAAATCCAAGGGAGAAGGAAGACTACTCCCAACATGTGTTTTTTAGGAAAGGGAAATCTTAACCAGCACCTTAGTTCGAGTTGTGTCACCAGCCCATGGACTGTCGTGACTGGCTCAGTGAAGCACGTGGCTGTGTGAAGAAGGGTGGGTTACCCAAGCAAAACTGAGATTGAGTCACAGGAAAGAAGTAGACAGTGGCTCTTGGGTAGTAACCAGCATCCTCCTCCCACCATTAAAAGCACCCTTCTCCTTTGACACTCCCTTATCAACAGGCAAAATAGTAGTTAATTTTAAAACTAAGCAACAATACAAATCTATTTATTTATTTATTTATTTATTTATTTATTTATTTATTTATTGAGACAGAGTCTCACTCTGTCACCCAGGCTGGAGTGCAATGGTGCGATCTTGGCTCACTGCAACCTCTGCCTCCCGGGTTCAAGCGATTCTCCTGCCTCAGCCTCCTGAGTAGCTGAGATTATAGGCATCCACCACCACACCCAGCTAATTTTTGTATTTTAGTAGAGACAGAGTTTTGCCATGGCAACAACACAAATCTTACAAAGTTTCAGCCACAGCATACTTAGTTTTTGACAATTATATTTGATATATGTGTGTGTCAGTCAGAAAGGCTGGTTTATGATGCCATAATAGGCAACACCAAGTTTTCTGAAACATACAACTGTGGCAGTTTATTTTTTGTTCCCAAAACTTACAGCCAACGTTTCAGGGCCATCCAAGGTCTTACTCAGTCCCAGGCTTATGCAATCTTCCAGCAACCTGAGGCTTTGGGGTTCACAGCAGTAGGAGGAGCAAGCATGGAAAATCTCACACCAGGGGACAAGTTGCCTCCTTTCCAGGCTTTTGCTAGAGCCGGTCCCATGGCCCTGCAGGGAAGTCAGGTAAAGCAGTCCTCTTTGTGTCCAGAAGAGGGAGGGGAGCCAGAAATGTCTGTAAGTACTAGTAAATGCAACCACACCCACTGTCCAGGAAGCGTGCTAGGAAGGGGCTCCTGTTCCACAGGGGTCTGGGCATCAGCGAAGGAACCTTGACACTGCCAGGGCTAGCTGCGGAAGCAAAGGGCCTGTCCACTTAGTTTATTACAGCTCCCTCCTCTAGTGGGATCCCTGTCATTAGGTAGGAGCTTGGTTTCCAGTGGGGTAAATAGCTTGAGCTAATCAGAATTATTTGAAATCAAGCCATGAAGTGGAAAATATAAAACTTTGAAAAAATAACACACACACACCTAGATGGGAGCTTGCTAAATTGGGAAATGGTCATGCTCTATTAGGCCCCTCCCAAGCTGTGAGATTTTTTAAGTACAATTTTAAATGCTTCCTAGCCTATAATGTGAACAACACTGGTGTCAGAGCAGGAAGGACCTTGTGCTAAACATCTCTCCCTCCATCCCTATATGACTGTAAACCCTGAAATGTGAGAGAGCACCTCAGGAACAGGTCCAAGTCAACAACTGTGGCTACGGGGACACAGAATCAACCACGGCCCACTCCTACCCCCACAGAGAAATTTTCTTCTGTCTCTGGAGTCTTCTTAAACTTCTCAGAGAAAGTCTGTGGGTAACATGGATTAAAGACATACTCTAACTCTAAATAAGATACTTGGCTTCAGTCTAAATGAGAAGATCCTTGTAGGAGTCTCTGTCCATTAAATCAATTATAAACAGAAAGGAAATTTGGAAATTCAGAAAGTTGTTGATTCAAAATTCAGCTGAACTGGAAAAATTGTAAATGTTTGTGCTTTGAAGTAAACAAATTATGCAGGCTATGAAATTCCTGCTGGTGGATTAGGGTTTTGTTTTGTTTTTGTTTTTCGTTTCGATCATTTGTGAGCCCAAGAGGAGTAGCAACACTTAAGCTTAATTTTATAAGCTTTTTCTTGGAGGACTTGCTAACGGCTTCAATAAAGTTGAAGGAATCTAGTGTAATGAAAAAGACTTTCCTAGCGTTTAGCATGTCACTGAATAAACAAAAACAAAACAATCCAATCCTTCAAGATGATCTTCTACCTATTAAATACTCAGTTTCACTGTGAATTTTTTAAAGAGGAAATGGGTATTTAAATTTACAGTAAAAATATTTAAACAACATTTTTATCCTATTCTGTCTGCTTGTGTTATAACATTTATCAGAAGAAAAAAACAAAAAGCAAAATGGGTATTTTTGTTGCCTTTAATTATATTCCAGTGATATCAGTGTTGCCCTTAGTATCAACACTGCGACTCCTGTAACCTAAGTCAGAAGCAGGCTTATTAGTGGCAAAGCAGGGTGTGATGATGACTTGAACTGGGTCTGTTTCCAGACAGGGGACCACCCCAGAAGTTTCACTCAAGAACATACCATGCTCCTTGAAATACCTAAAGGGCATTTTCAACTGAGAAGCAAAAGTTTGGTTCACTTTTTGTTTTGATGCCTTTTACTGGAAAACGGTCACTGTTCCTGTTCCCATTAGGGGAGGACGGAGCATACTGTGAAATGTCCCCACCCAGCTCTATCCTTGGATTAGCGGCTCCAAAGAACAACATGCCTCTCTAAGTCATCCTGTAAGGTGACCCAGAAGTGTGACTTGTCACACCATCCCGCCTTCTTTATCCCCTGGGCCGCAAAGGGCAGCCTGGCCTGATGCACTAAGGATTCATGTTCACAGATGATCCAGGGCATGTTCTAAACATTAACTTTACTTCCAGCCAAGTCATGTCCTCTGTAGAACCTGCCAGAGCAGAAGCTTACCTGCCCCTGGGGTGGGCAGAGGGAGCAGGGGATGGGGACTGTTTTACACTTAAGATCTCTATGATTCTAGTGCTAATTTGGTGTGTGTAACCTTGTCAGGCAAAGGAATTTCTGTAACTCCTCCCCTCCGCATATAAAAGATTAAGACCCTGAGGTTTCAGGACCAGGTCGTGGCCTCTGAGAGCCCCAGAGCTGAGGAAACAGGAGTTACAATACTTGCCTTCTGTTACAACACATCAAGGCAGCAGCAGATTCATCTCAAAGGTAAAGGATGTTGAACTTGATGTGGATGGGGGAGCCTGATGGAGGTTCGTCTCACTCTTCGGTGGGAAGGGAAGTGGATGTGCCCCTTGTAAGCCTGTAAACCTGTCTTTCTCAGCGGCTGGGATTCAGCTTTCCCCCTGAACTCCCCTGCTTGCATCTGCTTGGGAATGACTCACAAATCCTAATGGGGTTTTTCTATACCTAATTTATATAATTCGATGATGCAATCAAAACAAGTTAAACTGTGAGAAAGCTGGAAATCGGTGCCACTGTCCACTTAACCAGCCTCTGAGAAAAATAGTACATATGGACTGTGAGATGCCAATACCCCAAAGGAACGAACACCCTCAAGGAATGTTCAAACAGAGATGCTCGACCACAGTGGGCTTCTCGGGAGACTAGCACTGAGGAGGCTGTACCTTAGCTTCGGCCTTTGTAATTCTGAAGCAGAGCTGCTTAAACTGCAGTATGCACAGGAGTCCTCTGGGGATGAAATGAAAATGCAGGGTTTGATTCCGATTTGGGCCTTGATAAATTCTGCACTTGTTCCAACTCCGTGGTGATGCCAGTGCTGCTGGTTCACAGGACAATTGGGTGGCAGGGCTCACTGGGGTCTCAGTGACAGTAAATAATCTTTTCCATGCCTCAATCTTATCAAATCAGCACAGTCAAAATGCATTTTACCAAAAGCATTTTCTGTTCCGTTTTTAAAGTTTTTATTTTTAAATTAACACACAGTAAAAAATGATTCTTTTGTGTGTACTCAGTTCTATGAATTTTTTTTTTTTTTTGAGACAGAGTCTCGCTTTGTCGCCCAGGCTGGAGTGCAGTGGCCGGATCTCAGCTCACTGCAAGCTCCGCCTCCTGGGTTTACGCCATTCTCCTGCCTCAGCCTCCCGAGTAGCTGGGACTACGGGCGCCCGCCACCTCGCCCGGCTAGTTTTTTGTATTTTTTAGTAGAGACAGGGTTTCACTGTGTTAGCCAGGATGGTCTCGATCTCCTGACCTCGTGATCCACCCGTCTCGGCCTCCCAGAGTGCTGGGATTACATGCGTGAGCCACCGCACCCGGCCTAGTTCTATGAATTTTAACATACGTACAACTTCGTGTAACCACCGCCATGAAGAATGCAGAACAATTCCATCAGGTTCCCCTCAGTTCCTTCATGCTTTGCCTCTGCAGTCATACCCTCCCTTGAACCTGGGAGGTGGATGCTGCAGTGAGCCAAGATCACGCCATCGCACTCCAACCTGGGCAACAAGAGGGAAACTTCTTCTCAAAAAAAAAAAAAAAGAAAAGAAAAAAAGAAAAGAAACTACTGCCAAACTGTTTTTCACAATAATACCTGTACCATCCTGCAGTCTACCAGCAATGTGTGAGAGTTCCAATTCCCTTTCTCCCCGGAACCAGAGGACTTCTCAGAGCTCTTTCTATCCTTGTTCCCACTTCTGGGTTGCCTTGAGTCTAAACGGGGGATACCAGAGTAAAAACAGAAAATCTAGCACTGTTCAATGGTAACTGGAATTCTGGGGGTTTTCCCCTAATCTACCTGCTGCTGTTTACTTTTCAGAGTCCTCAAACAGCTGCACCACACATTCTGTCCAGGCTGCATTCTTTGGAGGGACAGATTAGGGTGTACTTCCTCCATCTTACTTGGAACTGGAACACTTCTGTTCTATTTCAAGCCCCAATCATAAAGAAAAATGTGAAAGGTGGTTAAACATACTTTTGGATATGTGAAAAATAATCATGAAATACTTGCTCTCAGGTGTTGAATAGGCAAGAAGTACGTGAGCGGTGTGCACAGTCAGCTGGTGTGCATTGAACCATCCTAGCCAAGAGTCACAAGCACACTCAGTGTAAGCCAAAAGCCTCTTTTTAAAAAGCAGCTCTCAGATTTCTCAATTTGAGTTTAATACTCTGGGTAACTGAGACTTGGGAAATCAAATTGCTGGCACAGCGTTAAGGCTCACAAGGGACAAATGTTCCTTTGTTCCCGTCGATTTGCCGAATGTGAGTTGGCTCCTGGGGCAGCACAGATGCCTCACAGGCGGTCAAGTGCGACACATTTGGTTTGACCGAATCAGTGTCTTCACAGCCCTTCATGCGGTTGTTCTCTGTAAGCGTTAATTGTTGATTTTGTGAAGTAAAATTCCTAAGGGTTATAGAGGTTATGGTTCGTCCAAGTTGGTGCTGATTGACTGGACGCAGCAGCACGAATTCTCTCAAGCACAAGGTTAGATGGCGTTTTGGGCTGCGGGGATACAGAGGAATAGAGCTATTTACTTATCAAGAGCTTTCCAACTATGGATAGTCTCCTCATCACACTTCTACTAAGAGGAGCAGTTGTCTTCACCGTAGACACTAGGAAATCGAAACACAAATACTCACAGAAATACACGTTACCTGTGAAGAAATGGGCTAAACCCTAATGACAAGATGCTAACAGAGTCTCCTGGTAGGTTAGAGCCAGGGAACTTGAACTTCTTTTTTTTTTCTTTGAGATGGAGTCTCACTCTGTCACCCAGGCTGGAGTGCAGTGGCACGATCTTGACTCACTGCAAGCTCCGCCTCCTGGGTTTACGCCATTCACCTGCCTCAGCCTCCCAAGTAGCTGGAACTACAGGCGCCCACCCACCACCACACCCAGCTAATTTTTTTGTATTTTTAGTAGAGATGGGGTTTCACTATATTGGACAGGTTGATCTCGAACCTTCAGTGATCCACCCATCTCGGCTTCCCAAAGTGCTGGGATTACAGGCATGAGCCACCGTGCCCAGCCCAGGGAACTTGAACTTCTAGTCCAAAGACAGAAGAAACTTTTCCCCTATGTTTACTGAGGAATAACTTATGTGTAGTGAAATTCACTCATTTAAAATATAGAGTTTGGTAAGTTTTAGCAATTGTATACTGCTATATAATCAACACTATAAACAAGATATAGGCCAGGCACGGAGGCTCACACCTGTAACTCCAGCACTTTGGGAGGTGGGGGCAGGTGGATCACCTGAGGTCAGGAGTTTGAGACCAGCCTGGCCAACATGGTGAAACCCTGTCTCTACTAAAAATACAAAAATTAGCCAGGGGTGGTGGCAGGCACCTGTAATCCCAGTTACTCGGGAGGCTGAAGCAAGAGAATTGCTTCAACCCAGGAGATGGAGGTTGCAGTGAGCTGAGATCGTGCCACTGCAATCCAACCTGGGTGACAGAGCGAAACTCTCTCTCAAAAAATAAATAAATAACTAATAAACAAGACACAGAACATTTCCATTATCCTAAAAAGAGCCCCCATGCTCCTCTGCCCTCAGTCCCCTCCCGCAACTCGACCTCAGGCAATCCCCAATCTGTTTCTGCAACTCTTTGTTCTGCAAGGTTCCCACTGCAAGTCTCTGCACAGACCACTTCCTGCACCCTGGGTGCTCCTGTCCACTCATCCTGCAAGTCCCTCCCCCTAGAAGGAGCCCCAAAGCCTTGGTCAGGTCAGGGCACCCTCCTTGTGTGTCCCATTTCAGTGCCTATCATATGCAGTGCCAGTGCCTCACTCTCTGTTATCTGAAGTCCCCTGAGGAAGGGCCCTGTCTTATCCCAGTGTCAGCCCTTTAGAGTGAAGAAGGATGGGGTATTACATATTTGTTTGTCTGTTTGTTTGTGACAGGGTCTCACTTTGTCCCCCAGGCTAGAGTGCAGTGATACAAACATGGCTCACTACAGCCTTGACCTCTTGGGCTCAAGCAATCTTCCCACCTCAGCCTCCTGAATAGCTGGGACCGCAGGCACATACCACTACGCCCAGCTAATTTTTTATTTTTTATTTTTGTAGAGACGGGATCTCTGTATGTTGCCCAGCATGGTCTCAAACTCCTGGGATCAAGTGATCCTCCAGCCTCAGCCTTCCAAAATGCTGGAATTACAGGCATGAGCCACTGCACCTGGCCTAAACATATTTAATCCCCACTTTCTGCTTTATTTTTATCTTTTCCTAAAAGTGTATTTCTAAACTTATCATTAATTGTGTTTCCTTGAAGCTACAAAATTGGTGATAGTAGCCACTACAGTTCTGCCCATAGTAAGGACAATGACTAAAACAAGCTAAGACAAGGTAGTTTGTTTAAAAGTGAAATGCGGCCACGCGCGGTGGCTCAAGCCTATAATCCCAACACTTTGGGAGGCCGAGACAGGCGGATCACGAGGTCAGGAGATCGAGACCATCCTGGCTAACACGGTGAAACCCCGTCTCTACTAAAAAATACAAAAAACTAGCCAGGCGAGGTGGCGGGCGCCTGTAGTCCCAGCTACTCGGGAGGCTGAGGTAGGAGAATTGCGTGAACCCAGGAGGCGGAGCTTGCAGTGAGCTGAGATCCGGCCACTGCACTCCAGCCCAGGCGACAGAGCGAGACTCCATCTCAAAAAAAAAAAAAAAAAAAAAAAGTGAAATGCATTTTTTCTTAGAGATTTTACTTGTGTTCACCATTGTGTCAGCAGCATTTTCCAGCAAAACACACACACACACAGCTAGTTAGTTTGTAAAATACCGTTATGCAGACGGAGGTAGAGATGGATGTCACTCTTCAACCCAGAGGGAGCTCTGCTATTTCTTGGAAAAACACGTATCTCCCATTTTACACATGTGGGACACCTCCCAGTGAGTGGGCGTGGTGAGGCTTATCTCTGACATATGAGAAGTGAAAGAATATAGGACAAACGCTCTTACCCAATGCTCCTCTGGGCATGGCCGTACGTAGTACATGGTTCAACTTAAGAACTTCTACTGTCATCCAAGCTTTCCTAAATGGTGGCCAACAGATCAAGGATAGAGATAAATGAATCTGTCATATACCCAAGAAGCCACACACTCAATATTGTGTGTAAATAAAGATTCACAGTTATTCAGGGTTTTCAATGACATTTAATTAGCTCAGACTAATGATGTCCCTGTGCTGGACTAATGATTCCCTATGCCAGACAACAGTCAGAAAAATCAGCGGGCGAGGACCAAGCTCATCGGTTACATTTATTCAGGACTTTATAAATTGCAGAACACTTTCACATTTGGAGTCAAACTTGGCCTTCAGAGAAATTTTAAAGATGAGAAAACTGAGGCCAGGAGAACCCATGTGACAAATAGACGGCACATCAAGGCAGTGGAAACACAGTCTGGAGTGAACATCTGGCTTCAAACTCCTTTCTCCTTCTATCTTGCCCCACTGTCCCGGTCTGTCTTTCTGAGACCTGTGGCACAGACCTCTATGCTGAGTTCCAGACCCATGTGTCAGGCACCCCTCCTTGCTTCCCCCTGGGGGTCGGCACCCAGGAAACTCAAACTCCATCCATCCAGCACAGCCTGAGCCCACTCCCCATAGCCCTCCTCCTCCTACATTTCCCATCTGTGCACAGGCAGAGCCAGGGCAGTACCCACTGACAGCCCTTCTCCTTCATTTTCCACGCAGAGTTTCCTGTGAATCTGTCCACTCTTCATCATCCTTGCCCCTCCCACCCTGGTCACAGCATCTCTCTGGGCTCCTCCAGCAGCCCAGTCACTTCTCCCCCTGCATACGCTCTCACCTCTCCAGTCTCTGCCCCCAGAACATCTGGCAAAATGCCTGTCTGGACCCACCATTTCCCCACTGAAAGCCCTTCCTGGGATAAGGTCCAAATTCTCTCTGGGGCATGCCAGGCCAGCTTCTCCAGGCTCCCATCTCCCCACACTCTTCTGCAGGGGTTCCCACCAGCAGACAGGAGCTTCTGCAGTCCCTGCTTTTGAGCTTTCTACTGTATCCACTCAGCTGGTCTGAAAGTCGAGCAGTTTCTGCATGTAAAAAAGTGAACATTTTGAGTGTCTGATATGTATAATTCCACACACAAGAGCCCACGTGTGTGCATGCGCACACAAACACATACACCTCAAAGCAGCTTGCCCTGGGGATGTCAGGCACTGGAACCATTTTCTCTGATAAACCCCTTCAGTAAAGGGCCTGGAAACTTTCAGAAGTCTGAAGCCTGTCACTCCTCAAATGTCTCACCTAGAAGATGATGAAGGTCATGGCCATCTCATGTAGCTGTTGTGATAATGAAATGGACTTAGGTTCACAAAATTCCTGATGCATGTTCCTGCTGCCGGAAGTTGAGAAATGATTCTTCTGTGAGGAGGAAGGAAGGGCAGAGGCGTTTGCCAGGTGCCAGCTTGTGGGAGGCTTGCACTCACATCTCACTGTGTCCTGATAACCAGCCAGCAGCAAGCACTGAGGCCACCATTGTCCTCCCACTTGCAGAGGTCCTGTGGCTGGCCAGGTATCCCTCACATCAACAGCAGGATCAGGATGCCTATACCCTGCAGAGTCTCAGGGATCATGTTTTATGGGGGTTCAGCTTCTATTTTTTATGTCAATAGCTTTAGGAGTACACGTGGGTTTTTGTTACATGGGTAAATTGTATAGTGTTTAAGTCATGGCTTTTAGTGCACTTGTCACCCAAATAGTGTACATGGCACCCAATAAGTGACATTTTATCCCCAACCTCTCTCCCTTGAGTCTCCAATACCCATTATACCACTCTGTTTATAAACCCTTTATGAAGCCGTGGCTTAGCTGCGACTTATAAGTGAGAATACAGAGTATTTGGTTTTCCATTCCAGAGTTACTTCATTAGGATAATGGCCTCCAGTTCCATCCGAGTCGCTGCAAAAGACATTATTTTGTTCTTTTTTATGGCTGAGTAGTATTCCATCTCACACACACACACACACACACACACACACACTTTCTTGATCCACTCATCAGTTAATGAGCACTTAGTTTGACTCCGTATCTTTGCAATTGTGAATTGTGCTGTGATAAACAAACACATGCAGGTGTCTTTTTTATATAATTACTTCTTTTCCTTTAGGTAGGTACCCAGTAGTCAGAATTCCTGGATCGAATGGTAGATCTACTCTCAGTTCTTTGAGAAATCTCCATACTGTTTTCCAAAGAGGTTGTACTCATTTACTTTCCTACCAACAGCATATAAGTGTTCTCTTTGCTCTGCATCTGCACCAACACCTATCAGTTTTTTTATTTTAAACAGTCAAATTGGAGTAAGGTGGATTGGAGTAAGATGGTATCTCATTGTGGTTTTACTTTACATTTCCCTGATGATGAATGATGTTGAGCATTTCTTCATATGTGTTTTGGTTATTTGTATGGCTATTTTCTTTTTTAGGGGATGAACAATCAATACACCCGTCGGGAGGTCTTCTGCCGGAACACCTGCCATGATCTCAAACGTTTCTGGGAAAGGGAAATTGGTAAACAGACTTACTACCGAGAATCGGAAGAACATCGTCTGGGAAGAAGCGCACTGAGAAAGTATGTGGCTTGTTTGTCTACTTTTTAGAATTAATTCATTTTTTAAATACATCTTATAATTTACAACAGTCTCAGGTTCTAAATTATAAGCAAAATTAAGCAGAAGGTACAAAGAGTTCCCTGAGCCCCCACACAATTGTCCTACTATCAACCTCTGCACCAGTGGTACCTTTGTGACTGTCGATGAACTTTCACTGACTTTCAAGCCATTATTATCTTCTCTGTTTTGTAAGAGCAAAATTAATTTCCCCAGAAGAATGCCAGATGGGCATCTCAGAGGAGGTAATTATTTTAATTTTCCATGCTTACAGTCCTTTAATTCTTATCTTTATGAACTGGAAAACTCTATCCTCTCTGTCACCATGTCACCTTCTAGCACATGAGGGTTACAGTAAATGGGGCGGGGGCGGGGGGGCAAACACTGTGTCTGTGAAAAGCAATCAAGCAAAGAAAGCAGTGCCCGGTTCTCAGCGCCCATTTGGGTGAAAACACAAGATGCCCTGCGTGGTTCCTGGAGGGGAAGGCGGGGTCTCTCCTTGTGTGCATCCCTGTTCTGGCCCAGTGAGTCTGCCGAGCAGTGGAGTGCAGTGACTTGACTCCCGTGGGAAAGGACGGTCACCATGCTGT